AGTTGTTAGAAATTGAGATATTTTTATATTTAATTAAATCCACTTTTATTTTATTGATTGGTGATTATTGATTTGATTTAGTGATATGAGATGATATGTTTTGCTGAGCCACCACACTTTCGACAAACTTGGATTACCACTGAGCCTAAGCAAAACCACCGATGCGCATTTGGTGCATCTGCCGGGAATTCAGAACTGCTTCTATCTGAGTAACTAAAGTCGCTAACTCTTCAAAATTCATGATAGCTGATTTTGCTACCCTTAACAAAATCCGTTTCACTGATTTTATGTTTGCTTCCCACAGTCTGCCAAAGTGAGGAGAAGCTGGTGGGATAAATTTCCATTCGATAACTTCTGCACTAAATCCTTGAATTGGGTTAGATTTGCAAATATCATTATATGTGTTAAGAATATTTCTTGCACCTTTGAAATTCGTGGCGTTATCGCTCCAGATAATGGCTGGTTTGGATCTTCTGGCAATAAATCGTTGTAAACAGGCTAGAAAAGCTTCTGTTGTTAACTCAGAAACGACTTTTAAATGCACTGCTTTAGTGCAAAAACAGATAAATACTGCAATATAAGACTTTAAAGTCACCTTTGACCTTTTCAAATTAGGTTTCGTGATTATAGGTCCTGCGAAATCTAATCCGACCTTCTCGAAAGGTCTAGAAGGCACGACTCTGTCTCTAGGTAGATTACCCATCATCTGGCTTACCGTTTGATTCTTCGTTCTAAAGCAAGTCATACACTTATTTATTACTCTTCTAACTCGATCTTGACCAGATGGTATCCAATACGACTGTCTTATTAAAGATAATGTAGTCTGTACGCCAGAATGTAAGGATTTTCTATGATAATATTCAATAACTAAATTAGTGAAATGATGAGCCTTTGGCAAGAGTATCTGATGTTTCTGAAATTCAGAAAACTCAGAATACTCCAGTCTTCTTCCTACTCTCAGTACCTCATTTTTGTCAAAAAATATGTTCAGAGATGATATTTTACTATTCTTTAGAATAGATTGTCCGTTTTTCAAGCACTTTATTTCCCTTTGAAATTCAGTTGACTGTACGAGTTTTACTAAAACTTCGGTAGCATGTCTTAACTCAGAAGCACATATGAAGTCTGTTCTAAACTCTGGTTTTGCTTTACAGTTATTTATAAATCTCAAACATAAAGCAGTTATCCTAATTAATTTACTGAATGAGGAGTATCTTGTGATCAAATCGTTTTCATTTTGGCTATTTTCAACAGTTGCATTTACAACAACTGACTTCTTAAACTCTAACTTATCGACATCTATTTCGCTTTCTTCCATTAACTCTAAGGAGGATGGCCATGCTGTATTATTCATTGTCAGCCACAGAGCTGATTATTCTTGAGCTCGCTTAAGGATAAACCCCTAGAAATCAAATCGGCGGGATTATTCTTTTCTATACAATGATGCCATTCTTCTGGATTGCTGTATTTTTGCATTTCTTTTATTCTATTCTTCATGACCACCTTATGTCTATATGGATCACCTTTGATCCAATAATAAGCAAATTGAGGAATCCCCTGTCCAAAAATATCGAGTAACTGGAAAACTTAGGCGCAGTTACAATTTTATTCCTCAATCTTGAAGACAAAAGTGCACCCATGAGTTCTAATCTAGGAATCAAAAGGGATTTTAACTGGAGCTACTCTGCTCCTTTGATGCTACAAAAATAGAAATTGATATTTCCACTCCTATAATTATATGCATAAGTACGTAACAGTAACCATAAGCTTTCTTAGATGCATCTGAAAAACAGTGTAATTGAATAGTGATTGCATGACTGGGCAAAGAATTTTGAAAATAATATCGGGGAATAATTATTTCCTTTACATCTTGGATCTCATTTCATCATTTATTCCAAGCAATTTCTAACTGTTGGGGCAATTTTTCATCCCAGTCTAACCCTAAACACCAAATTTCTTGTATCAAGTACTTAACTCTAATAGTATACGGTCCTATAAAACCTACTGGATCGAAATGTCAACCTACTGCTTGGAGTAAGTGTCTTTTTGTGTTAGTTCTTTTTAAAAGAAATGTTTCCAGATTTCTGGTATCGAAATAAAATGTGTCAGTTTTTTCATCCCAACCAATTCCCAATACTTTTAAAGCTATCAATTTTGTATCTAAAGACTCTTCATCCTGATCTACATTGAAGTTTAAATTCTTTACTTAGCTCAGGAGAATTGGTTCTCCACTTTCGAAGGTCCATGCTTGCCTCTTTTAGAATGTCTACACTCTCTTTACAACTCTAGAGCCTGTTGAACAGTGATTTACCCACAAATAAAATTGTTGACGTACAATGATTCATTAAGATGCTTAAAAGTCAGAGGAAATATATCTACGTACCTTTTCAAGTAATGTTTGATTGTGGCTGCAAGGAGGAACGGGCTAGATCTCACCCCAAATAACACCCTTGTCATCCGAAAAATTTCCAATTTCTTGTTTTCATAATCCCAAAATTCCTTGAGTTGATCAGAAATATTGGATTCATTTACAATAACTGTTGTTGCAGTTGAAACAATATTTGGGTGGTGTTTGCAAGGCCAAAATACGAACTTAAATGAAACATTTGGAATGAGTGTTATGGTAAACGAATCCAATATTTTCGATCAACTCAAGGAATTTTGGGATTTAGGGAATTTGGGTATCGAGGCAGAAGTAGCTGAAATAGAATCCACTGAGAAAGAAATAATGAGTGAATTTGAATCCGGAATTACATATCAAAATAAACGATATAAAGTGAAACTGCCCTGGAAACCAAATATGAAGACATTATTAGAAAATAACGAGCAGATAGCAATGAAAAGATTTTTGAGATTGAAATCATCTTTTAAAAATGACCCGTCCTTTTTTTGTGAATATAACACTGTTCTAAAGAATTATCTTTCGGAGAAATATTACTTGAACCTGTCCCAGCTTGATGAAGTAAATTTACTGCCAAAATACATTTTATCTACCTCATTGAGCTGTAATACGTACTGATAAGACTACAAGCAAATTACGCATTGTGTTTGATGCTTCGGCGCATGCAAAAGGTCAATTATCTCTGAACGATTGCTTATACACAGAACTTAATTTTATGCCTAACCTATTTCTTCTTTTGATCAGATTTAGAACGAATCCGATAGCATTTGTTGCAGATATTAATCCAGATTGAAATAGATGAGAGCAAACGAAACTGCACCAGATTCTTCTGGGAAGTGTATCCTGTAGCTGATGATCTGGTCAGAGTAGTTGAAGTTAAAACCTCTACAGGTGTTCTTTGGCGAGCCATCAACAAAATTATTCCTCTACCATTTAAAGACTGAATGAACTTGGAAAAACTTTTATTTTATATTTAATTAGTTTAACCAATTTAATATTCAGTTTAGTGTAATTTTAGTGACTTTGAAATTTATTTGAATACCTGGAAATTGAAATGTAAACTCCACAGGAAGTTTAAGCGGGGAGAAATGGTAAGACGCTAGAAGGCGCTGAGATGCTAGACGAGCGCCATTGAAGGTGCTAGAACGCTAGAAGGCGCCATAACGCTGAGAGCGCCATTGAGTGTGTGCTGAGATTCGATGGACAGTTAGCTCAATGGAAGGATGTGACGCAGTTGTGAGAAATTTAGATATTTTTATATTTAATTAAATCCATTTTTATTTTATTGATTGGTGATTATTGATTTGATTTATTGATATGAGATGATATGTTTTGCTGAACCACCACATTTTCGACAAACTTGGATTACCACTGAGCCTAAGCAAAACCAAGTATATTTTGTTTTGGTATCTGTAAATATGTCACATATACATACACATACTTCATACAATTGAGAAAGGCAGCAATACTAATTTTGTTCTCTCAGATATGATTCTCAATATATTTTGCAAATACAGTTGAAACTTCAACAGTGGTTTTGACATGTAATTTTTAGCTCACTATGAGATGTCAAATCTGTAAGGATCTCCTACTTTTGATTCAAACTGGGTGATTTTTTGTTCATGCTGACTACATTTAGAATCTATTTGAAATCATCAGACACCTTCTTTTCGGATCCACATAATAATACTCAAATGAGTCTTTGAAAACTTTGAGATATGATTATACTTTTCCCCGTTGTTTCCTTGAATGTTATTTTCATTTAAGAAGTTGTTAGTAAGAAGGATCTATTTTTCTTTTTCACTTCTTCCAACCAATATACGCTTTTCCTCTTATAAGAAGGTACTTTGGCATTTGCAACAAAAGCAATGGCATTTCTTTTTTCTCTGCAATGACAGGTTCATTTGATTCATTATGCTTTTAAAGGATGACAGCACTGAGTATATAAACTGGCATGTAAGTTAGATATGCCAGTTTACATACCCAATACCATCATCCTTTAAAAATGTCATCACTAGAGCATTAAAGTGTATACAAAATTGCTGCTTTATTTGCACTTAGCTCTATTAAACATAACACGTAATTTTGAAGAGCTTGCTTTTAAGAACAGTCAGAGTTGAGTTTTTCCTCAGATTTTGAAAAAAGGAAAAAAAAAAAAAAAGAAAAGATTAACATTTGGGACTGCAAGTGGAGTATTTTCGAAGTTACAGAATCCAAGCATAAGAAAAGCTACAACACATGACATATAAAACAAGAATGGAGAAACGATGGCAATGCAACTTTAAAAATTATGATAAGAAATTTAAGTTTTTTATATGCTATATTTGTAATTTGCATATCTTTATTATCTAATTAAATAAAAAGCAACTGTTCATTTGAACTTCTACTGGAATAATGGATGATATCTTGGCCAACATTCAGATTTGGTGGAATTATAAAAAATCTCATGACTAGATAAAGGCAGTCATGCAAATCAGGATCTTAGATAAAGAGTAATTTTTTTATTTGCTATCTAACAGCAAATATGTTAGATATTATTTTGCTATCTAACAGCACTTTGATAGGAAGCAATATATCATAATACATAATTAAAAATTACCAAACCAGTCCTTCCATTCTGGTTGTCCTTGTAAATCTGGAGTCATCTTTTCAAAAAAGTCCAACAATTTATCTTGTCTTCCAGATGAAATACAAGTAACCAGATACATTCGCAGCAAAGCAACTTCTAATTTCCTGGCAGTACCTAAAAAAGAATGTTCCAATCTCGAAAAAAATCGCTGATCCAAATGCGCCCATGCTTCTCTTAATGTTGTTAAATCTAAATTGATGATGCAGCTGCTCAGATGTTCAACAATACGATCAGGCTACAATAAAAAATAAAACATTTTAAAATTTGTTTAATTTTAAAACATAATTTTTTATCTCTTTTCAATATTTTATACATAATTTTTTTAATGTTTATTATAGCAAGAAACAATGTGAAAATATGCATAGGTATAAAGAAAAATTAAAGCACTCAAGTATATAACTTTAATATCTCAGTTAAATTAAATAATTATCTCAGAATAATGTATCCATATATTTTAACTGAAACTATTAAATGAAATTCTATAATTATCATAATTTATTTTTTCTCAAATAATAATAATGTTTTTTATAAGAAAAATAATTTGGCATGTAACTGGTCACTAAAGTTACATAACAATTTGATACATTACGAAGTCCGAAATCTGGAAATGCAATGTCCTGTAATGATCTAACATCTATCTAGACCTCCAGACCACGCTTTTTAAAATATATATATATATATATATTAATAAATTTTTTTGATATGCTTTACATGCACACATTTGATATTTTTTCATAATAAAATGTGGAGAGTCCCGATTCTTAATTTCACTTTGGCACTAGATAAAATACCTCATTATTGAAGAAACAATCATTTTAACATATATTTGTATGATAATAGTTTGGCTCTTGCCTGTTCACTTGGCATACACCTCAAACTGAAACATTCCACATCAAAACATCATCCATTTTACACTTAGTAAATAATTTATTTCTCTGATGTCAACTACTTGCATTATTATTTGCTTTCATCACGCATGATTATCAACACATGGCTGCTTGAGAAATGACTCTTGCAGCAATGACTAAACACTTTTTTTTTTAATATTAGTTATCGAATACGAAAGAGAATGGTAACCTTTTATGTTAACATTACGCTTGCTGGTGATTACACACTCTGCTAATTGCACTGCAAAGAGTTGTGTGTTGACAAGAAGAAATTAAACAGCAATTTCTTTCCCTATGCAAAAGAAAAAAATAATAATAAAGATTTTGTAAATGATAGGCAGAAAGATTATATTTAGTGATTTTTGAATTGAGAATAACTGATTTATTATTCAAATAAGCTTTGGCAGGGCGTCAGAGCTCGTGTGGCAAAATTTAGAAAAGGCAAAATTTATAGAAGTTAGAGAAGCACTGAGCAACAAATTAAGGGATGACAAATTTTTTAGAATTTAGGGAAGGCAATGAGATCCAAAATTTTTAGAATTTACAGAGGCACTTAGCAAGCAGACTCGCAAAGACTACACCGGGCCACGAAACATCTAGTGTCGGACCTAGGTAACCCTTAAGTATATATGGGAATTTATTTGGGACGGCTTAAAGTATGTGTGGGAAACAGACCAAGTATAATACATAACTAATATGATTTAGGCCTAACTTCAGAGTGCAATAGAAGCAAGACAAAATTTAACGGGACAACACGTCTTTAGTCACCAATCTCAAGATACACTGCAACACTAAGCTTCATGAAGATAGCCACAAATTTGAAGGTTGTCAGGTATTGCAAATAAAAAGAAATTTCCAACAATTTTCCAATTACTGGAATCTGTGAAGAAATGTGGAGAAGTGGCCATAAATAATGATATAACAGAAGGTTTTCATTGTAAAGATAAAGCCATAATCATCAATCAACTTACTAACAGCAAAATCAGCAATATGGTTCTAAATGTAGAAAATATCAATACTGATAGTAAAGAAAGTGACAGTTTTTGAGAACAAAAAATTTCAAATGATAATTTAGTGGGGATTCTCGATATGCAAATTATAAGACTTAAGCAATGGAATTTTGTAACTGAACAAGAAATTATGTCTATTAATAAAGGAAAAGGAAGAAACAAAAGAAGAAGAAGAAAGAAGAAACAAAAAAGAAGGAATAAAAAAACAAAGCAACTTCAGCATTTTACATTGAAAGTAATACAGAGCAATAGGCTCCAGCACTTCTCAATTTTTGAGATAAATTTTCATTTTAGCCAGAGTATACTGGAGTCCTTTAATGAGAGTTGTCCAGCCATTTCGGTTGATCTTTGGAATATGGAAACTTGGTGATTTTTTGGCGAAAATTTGGCGACCAACTCTGCTACAGCAATCCTCTATTTTTTTTTTTTTTCTTTTTGCCGCAATTTTGTCTTCACGAAGTAAAGACATGTTTCTTTGGTTGATCTTGGGATTATGGTAACTTGGTGATTTTTTGGCGAAAATTTGGCGACCAACTCTGCTACAACAAACCTCTATTTTTTTTATTTCCCCCCCCACACACCGCCATTTTGTCTTTACTTCGTAAAGACATGTTTCTTTTCGGTACTTTTCCGTTTGGCCGGCGCAAATCTCGCCAAGCAGACTTTATTGGCGACAACATACAGTATACACATAAAAAATATTTTTAAAAATGTTAGTTCTAAGAATTCTTTTTTTTTTTTTTTTTTTTTTTTTTTTTTTTTTTTTTTTTTTTTTTTTTTTTTTTTTTTTTTTTTTGAAAGCATAAACAATTTTAAATATCGCTTAAAATTTATAAAAAGCCAATAAATAAGAAAGACAGTAAAATTTGTAAAAAAAGACATTAAAAATTTAAAAATTTACCATGCTTTCATGGTTCAACAATCTTGATTCGCCGGTTCATATCACGTAAACTCCAAGCGATCCTCATCTCACGTAAACTACTCTAAACAAAAATCTAATGCTCGCAGTAATTACCTACATTAATTTCAAGTTAAATCTTAATTTGGAACACAAGTTTAAATGCAAGAATATTTCAATTCGTACGAATAGCTTACTCAGAAATTATGTAAAGCTGCAGTGCTTTACTTCGCTAATGCATTCTCATTAGAATTGATGAATTTAACCCTTGACTTACATTTTCTATATTTTCGGCTTCGGGTAAGCGCTGTGATTGCATCCTGATTGACTTAATTACCGAAAATGGCCTTAGACACTGAACTATCTGATAAAAATTCTATGTAATTATATGCCACTATTGAAAGAAACAATCAATCTGATAAGAAAAAGCTGCGACTTGTTTTGAAAATGAGGCGTAAAAGGTTACCAGCGAGAATATTCCGTTTGGCATCGGTTGTACCATTATTGGCGACTTTATCGCTTGCGCCGGCAAAACGGAAAAGTACCTTCTTTTCTTTTTATTTACTCAACACTTTTTCCAACAACCTATTAGCGGAATTACACTTATGGTAGAAATTTTATGTAACAAAACTGCTTAATCATGACAAATATTAACTGCAAACCGACGGTGCGAATAGCCAAGAAGCTATTCACACCACCTACGTGCGCGCATGCGCAGAATCAGCCCAGGTACCAGCATTTTACGTCGATTTCCGTAAGGTAGGCGGTAGCGAGAGCGAAGATTGTTAACCTAGCAATAGAAAGGGTTGTTAATTGTTCACCAGCAAGAGAATAATTTGCAAGTAATAATTATCGGTTACAAAGACGAAGTCAATCTATATACATGATAATATTCAGCAAATGATTAGATAAAAAAGGGATTTAATGATGGTTCTATTTGCAAGAGAGGATGTGTAATTAGTTAAAAAATCTTTAATGTATTGACAAAAAGGCTGCAGAAATTACTTAAATTCTTTTCTTTAACAGAGAAATTTTTATGCAAACTTAGACCCTAGTCTTATAGCATTGGACTGTCAGAATTATTATTCAATAGAAACTTAGTGATAATTACAATTCTTATATATTTCATCACTTTTTTCATATTCCCCTCACTCATGTTTATAGGTTAAAATGCAATATTAAAAATCAAAGTTATTTATGAAATAAAAACCTTATAAAATCTCATAAATCATTTGTGTGTGCAAATTTTTAAATCTAAACTCTTACATTAAATTATTTCAGTCTTTTTTTAAATTACATATCATTATTTGGTTGATCTTTGGATTATGGTAACTTGGCGATTTTTTGGCGAAACTTTGGCGACCAACTCTGCTACAGCAACCCTGTATTTTTTTTCGCCGCCATTTTGTCTTCACGAAGTAAAGACATGCTTCTTTTCTTTTTATTTACTGAACACTTTTTCCAACAATCTACTAGCCGAATTACACTTATGCTAGAAATTTTATGTAACAAAACTGCTTAATCATGACAAATATTAACTGCAAAATTGGGAAAAAGTGCACAACCGCAAACTCCTTGCGCGTTTTTCAGAATAGCACATACACATAAACCATTTACACGTCGACTTATTTTTACTTAAAAAAACATCCCAGAATTGCACAAAAATGGCATTCCACAAACTTTTAACTTTATCCATCTACACTGCTATTTTCTCATAAATTTACAAAATTTGCACGGAAATGCAAAAAAATTCTGTGAATCTTTAAACTCGGTAAAAAGCACATATATGAAATTACCTGATCGCGAAAAAGTATATATCCTTTCCGAGGACGAACATTTCCACATAAAATAAATAAAAATATCCAAAAACTTTTACCTCTAAATTATCTGTTATATTATAAACGTCACCAACGAATTCATACCAAAAACGCAAACATTACAAAATGGTTACAAATACTTAGTGTCAAATATTTAAATTATTTCCATACACGTTTACTTCAACTGAAACGTTATACCAAATTCCTGCAAATATAAAATTCACAAAATAACTATCATTTAATTAAAATATATCACTAAACCATGTACACGTCGACTTATTTTACTTACTTAAAAAAACAACACAGAATTGCACAAAAATGGCATTGCGTACACCCTTCACTATATCCATGTACACTGCTTTTTTCTCGTAAATTAGAAAAATTTCACGAAAATGCATGAAAATTTTGTGAATCTTTAAATTTGGTAAAAAGGACATATATGAAATTACCTGATCGCAAAAAAGTATATACCCTTTCCAAGAATGGACATTTGCACGTATAAAATAAATAAAATATCCAAAAACTTTTACCTCTAAATTATCTATGGTACTTTTCCGTTTTGCCGGCGATAAAGTCGCGAATAATGGTACAACTGATGCCTAACGGAATATTCTCGCTGGTAACCTTTTTACGCCTTATTTTTCAAAAAAGTCGCAGCTTTTTCTTATCAGATTGATTGTTTTCTTTCAATACTGACATATAATCATAGAATTTTTATCAGATAGTTCAGTTTTATGTCCAAGGCCATTTTCGGTAATCAAGTCAATTAGGATGCAATCACAGCGCTTACCCGAAGCCGAAAATAAGAAAAGGTAAAGTCAAGGGTTAAATTCATCAATTCTAATGAGATGCATTAGCGAAGTAAAGCACTGCAGTTTTTACATAATTTCTGAGTAAGCTATTCGTACAAATTGAAATATTTCTTGCATTTAAACTTGTGTTCTAAACTAAGATTTAACTTGAAATTATGTAGATAATTACTGAGAGCATTAGATTTTTGTGAGAGTAGTTTACGTGAGATGAGATCGCTTGGTCACGCGATATGAAAACCGGCGAATCAGGATGTCGAACCATGAAAGCGTAGTAAATTCTTAAAATTAAGTCTTGTTTTACCAATTTATTGTCTTTATTTATCGGCTTTTTATAAAATTTTAAGCGATATTAAAATGTTTATGGCCTTCAAAAAGGAATTCTTAGAACTAACATTTTTTTAAATATTTTTATGTGTATACTGTTGTTGTCGCCAATAAAGTCTGCTTGGGAGATTTGCGCCGGCGAAACGGAAAAGTACCTTATCTATTATAAACGTCACCAACGAATTTAATAACAAAATATTAAAAAATGATTACAAATACTTGGTGTCAAATACTTAAATTCTTTCCATGCACATTTACTTCTTCTACTCAAACGTATTCCAAATACTACAAACATATAACTCTCAAATCACGATCATTAATTAAAATAAATTAATTTAAAAACAATACTTAAAATATAAATAAGCACATACATTAAATTAATAAAATTTAGTTTACAATCCTAAATTACTTTAAACTAAATCATTGCTAATAACAATTTTCCAATAATACCATATTAATTTATTTACTCCTTACATTTAGAAACAATGCATAAAAATAATATCCTCAATGATTAAAATACTAACTTACCTAATCTTCAGAATCTTCATTACATGGCACGCACACTTCCACTATTTCACACAACACACAGTGAAGCTTAATACAAAATAATATAGTACTACAGTTTTCCAAATTTCCTCCCTTTTCCGATTAAAGAACTGTAATTCGTCCATTAATGTCACATGACATATCTCATGATCTCTCATTTCCCTCACACAAAATAATGCGTAATCGGAACTGAGTACCTCTCACATTATTACCAAAGTCCTAGGTAGTAACCTTTATCGCCTCCAAAATGTCGCCAAACTACCAGTTACCATATTCCAAAGATCAGCCACCATTTCTTTTATGTAATTAAAAACCATAATTTCAGAAGCAAATTTTCTGGATTTCAAAAACTTTCTTTTAAATAATGAGTCTGCCTTAAAAACCAATTTTAACTTCTGAATACATGCCTGTCTTGCTCTAGTAAACAAGGGCTCTGATGAAAATTGAGATGACAGAAAAGCCCAAACTCGCAAATCAAAGGTTTTTCCTCCAGGAAGTGCAATGAATTTATGATCGGGGATACAGTTTTTGTTCACCAATAATACTAGACGTGGAACTCTTTTGAAGGACGTAACTAAATGCGGGAGACGGAAATTGTCACTTGCACAGAATTGTCACTTTTCTCTCAGTTTACAACCAAAATCTGGGAGAAATTTTTTATCCCTGTCACATTCTGCTTAGCAAGTAGAGTTATACTGGCAGGAAGCCTTGGTCAGAAAGTGTTGAACTCTTCTCTCTTTGTTTTCACTCCTACACACTGCTGTTAAAATTGCCCGTAGTTATGAGTCATCCAAAAACTCCTCCCATTGGCAGCAGCCCATTGCTGGGTCCACCATCAAGTTCTGTCTCATTATTTTCTCTCATCCTTGATACCCTTTCTCCCAAATAACTTCTAACTATTGCCTCCCCTAGCTAATGGGTTATCCCTCTAATAGAACTGGCTTTCCCCTAGTTCCGAATATTATTCTGCTGGTTAAGATGCCCTGTTCTCTGGAAAAATTTAAATGTTTCTTACTTTTTTGCATAAAATATTCTGAGAAACAGCATGAATAATAATATTTTAAATCATATTATTTATGTATTCATATGTATTAATTACTGAATAAACTTGTGCTATATTCTAGAATTTTAAGTTATTCAATAACTACTTACCTATTAAAGCATTTTTTTGACTTTACAGAATAAATTAGAACTATATGATGCTTGTTTAAATAATTTATTAACAATTTAAGCATTAAATTATAGTGATTAATGCTTTCAAACTGTCAAAGATGTAACTGAAGCAAACATTTTAAACAGATTACACTGGATGGTGATGCCACCCAATTATGCAATAGTAAACTATCTCTACATTTTACAGTTACTATTTAAATAATTGGCTCAAAAACACACGCAATCTTTCTTAGGTAACAAGCATTTCAGAAATTTTGGCATTTTCTAATTATTTACACCTTTAGTTTCAATATTAAATTACCTCTTTTAAAGAAGTAGTCTTTCTGCAGTTGACATCAAAAACATATATCTCTGTCATTTAAACATTTTGTAGTAACAATAATCATGGAAAATGCTTTATTTGTTTTAACTATTTAAAACTGATAAATCAAATGGTATGCTTACTGACTGCATACACTTCATCAAAGATATGTGAAATTGTATTCCTAAATAAATTATTAAATATTGTAAAAATCTGTGCAAAGACTACAGCAACTGACTGCAAAAGGATGTATAATCGGCAATTTAGTGTTTCTTTAAAAACCATAACATTTCTTGTTATAAAGTACTACTTTTTATTACATTATAAATAGAACAAAACTTACAGGCCATAAAGAATGCTAAAGGAAGATTTTTTTTGACAATGTATTGATGACTTTTCATCAGAATGCAGATAGTCAGAAAGTATCAGAACTTTCTATTAATAATGCATGTTTTCTGTTTTAACAATTTTTATGTAAAATTTAATTTTTAATTTATGTAATCAGTCAGATGAAACTTTTTAAATTTATAACTGAAATTAATACCAAAAAATGTATAACAAATGCCTTATTAAAATTATACATATGTATTTATTCACATATTTTTACCCATTTTCCTACAAATTTTACTGCTTGAAAATTGTCAACAGAAAAATACATGGTGGGTTATAATATTGGGTTGTCTGAAAAGGTTTATGCATTTCTTCTTTATTCTTTAAAGGTCCTTTATTTGCATAAACACCAATGATCAGTTAATAGCATACTGCTCATTTTATTCCATAACTGTTTGCTTTCTTTTAAATGAATAATTCCTCATCTAAAAAAGAACCTAGCATCATCAGCAAAAAGCTGAAGGTGCTGATTTATTTTCTCATCTGAATTGAAAGTTATACCATAAAAGAAATTTTGAAGAGAGTGAAACAAGTGAAGGTTTGATAGTAGAAGATCAGCAGAGTATGATATACATGGCAACAATTTTCATGCAAACTCCAATAATTTTTGTCAGGTGATCAAACTTGCATGTAGTCTCATGTTATCAGGATAGAATACAGTTCCAGTATGATTACTGAGATTCATTTGGGTTAGAGTAGACTGAAGGGTACCCCTTGTATTATCACGAAGTAGTTGTTTCGTTTATCGCCAAGTCATTTCATTTATGGTAATCGAGTTTCATTTATGGTACCCGTATATATACTTTTACTTAGAACTGAGTGCTCCTTTGACTTTTTAAGTGAAAATATATCGATGTGTACATGGACAAAGTCAAAGAAGTGCGCTGAGCCAAGTTCTGAAAATTCTCTTATTTTTTTTAAGTGAAAATAGGTCGACATGTTCATGGATAAAGTCAAGGATGTGCGCAATGCCTAATTTGTGTGATTCTGTGATTTTTTTTAAGTGAAAATAGGTCAATGTGTTCATGGATATCGAGTTTGTGCCATTCTTTGATTTGTTATTTTGTCTTTTTGAAGTGGCGATACACAAAGCCAAAATAACAAGTCAAAGAATTGCACAAACTCGGTATCCATGTACCGCCAAAAATCGCCAATTTTCGCCAAGTGGCACCCGTAAATATACTTTTAATTAAAAGTTCAAAAGTTCAGTTTTTGTAAAAGAGCAAAACAAATCATTTGTTTTGCTCTTTTCAAAGTTTCTTTCGAGGTATACTGCTCAATTCAGATGAGACCGTAAGTCAGCACATTATTTAGCTGTTTGCCCATAAAGCTAAGTTCTTTTGTGAATAAGGATTACGAAGCTCATTAAAAGAAAGTAAAAAGTTATCACTAATAACTAATCATCATTCTTTACATAAATATAAGATCTCTAAAGAACATTGAAAAACTGTGTCATGACTTTCAAGACAATATTCCTGACGATATTACTTAAAAGATAAACATAGCACATTAAATTCAATATAATAACATATAATAACATTCAATATAATAACATATAAAGACATACTAATACTATTATATTATCAATTTCAATAATATTCTTGCTACTTGCACAAAACACGTTCCTTTTTATACACTGTTACATTATAAATCATATGATAAAAAAACTCGAGAGAAAAGGTGGTATATATGAAAGGTGGTAAAGAATATGGTACTTTTATATATTGTTATAATTCTGAGCTCAATGTTTCATTAAGATAGCGGTAAAGAATCTCTAAAATAAAATAATTTTTCAGTAAAGTCGCACACATACAAAGGTTGCGCTTCATTGGTTTTCCTTACACAGTTAAATTCTTATTCATCTATGTTTTTTAAAAAGGTAGTGAATATCTCAGGTGTATGATTTTTAATTAACTATATATTTTATACCAACGCTAAATATATACATATGGATTTACCCTAAATCCTCTATCTTTATCAGCTTTCACTTCGCTGTCAAAAGCCTTCAAAGCGGAAAAAAAACCACGGAATATTAAATAATCACGAACAAGTTCATCTCCAAATCCTATTGCTGACATCACTCAACAAGTGATTTTTTAAACATAAATTAGCAGCGTCATAAAAAGTAAATATGATGTCCAGCAAAAAAAAAAAAAAAAAAAAATTAGGTACGGATACGAGTCTCTTCACTCCTCTTTCTTACAGGCGGAGAATAAAAGAAAAGTAGAAAAAAAAAAATTTCATCAAAATTGGGATTATTTATTATCGTCCTATATATATTTATTATCGTCATTTTTTGTGATGAAACAGTCATTTTTTGTTGTAAAATAATTTTAGTCTAAAATCTTACAATCAGATCAATGCTTGAATGCGAATTGCTTATGCTTATGTAGCCTTGCGGCTTCTATAAGCTCTTAATCCCTAAGGAACGGCCTGCGTTAAATGAAGGAAGCTCCACCAAAGAATCTTTGGCTCCACTGTGTTTTTCTGGCAACTGTGGCGAACATATTTGGCATGAATTTGTCTCTCTGGTTGACGCCATGCCAGAAAGGAAGCTCCGTGAAATGGTATCGTTAAAAGACGGAAGAGATATTGACAGTATGTTAATGCAGAATTGTTAATTTTTTGAGGTAATGAAAGTTATTTTAGTATCGATAATCTGGTTTTTAATTTCACTGAAGGACTTAGTTCTTAAATATCAGAAAATAAAACTCATAAGATTTCATAGCATATTAAAATTGAGCTTTCGTGAAAGTATATCGTGAAACTTCTGTTAGCCAAGTAATGGAATTATTTAAATCCTTTTACTTGTTTAGGTCGTTTAATATCATCAGAAAAACATTACTGAAATGAAAGTGCTGATGACTCAACATAATCTAACAGGAAAGGCATCTGATGTTGCCTATTGCCTTATTTTTCTCTTGTAATGCTAGTGATACGTTAATATTATTACTATTATTATTAGAATTGTATTAAATTAGAAGTAACCGGAAGAAAAGAATTGTACAGTTTTGGCATAAATTTAGATTATTCGCAAAGTAATTTTTGTGTAGGTATTTGCAGTATATGATTTTTTGCGATTATACTATAAATGTAAAATGTTACCAATCTTATTAGTATACGTTTGTAATCAACCAACGTTGGTATTAGTCTTGAAAACAGCACTTTTTAAAATTTCGTCTTAAACTTAATAAAGTTTAGAAAATTAACTTGTTTTCAAATAACATCACATTAAAGCAAAAAGTTTTTGGAAAACCTTAAAATAATTCTCATTTAAAATCATTATAAAATGGATTGAAAGTTTAAAAAAAATTATATATTTTTTCCGTATGGAAATTTAATATGCCATACGATACTAGAACAATTTAGCTGGCACAACTTTGATGTCTTTGTCAATTTGGCAAATCAATTTTAAAAATTAAAAGCATAGTATTGAAAGATTTGCTTTATAAAAATTTAGGAGTGATATTATTTTAATATTGTGATTCTTCACACTTGAATTACACAAGACGTCAAGAAGAATGTTAACTCATAATACAGGAAATTGGTCTTCAAGAAATGTTTAAAAATGCATTTAAAATATTTTAAAATTTGCATATGATTTTTGCTGAAAATTATAAGCATTATTCAAATAGGCAATAGTTTTTTAAGAACTTTATTTTTATTTTTATTAAATAGCCTATCCAAGGCCACTAGGTCATCAGGCTGTATGCTTTCCCCCAGTATTTTTCAACAAGGCAATGAAAATGATTGTGGGGCATTTGTCAGTATCAGCAGTGGTTATATCTTGTTCAGTTAAGCACAAAATACACACAGAAGAGTCAGCGATATTAAAACAAAGTAAATGGGCACAGATACAGTCATGCAATGCATATCGTGTGAAATTTGTATTCACAATGTAAGTTGCAACTGCTTATATTTTGTAATTAGGAATGTCATATGCAAACACATATGTCTTGTGCAAAAAATAAAAGTCAGGCAGAGTAGTTTGTGTGAACCTAAATTTGATACCAAATCAAAAATTTCAAGTAGAGAATGTCAGTTGGAAGCACCATTATTGTACACATGTTTCAAATATTTATTCACTAAAGCAGTTCCCAAAAATCCATACTCTTATTCAAAGCACACCTAGTTCTCAGATTAATAATCTGTTGAATTAATTCAGAAGATTAACCTCTCGAAGCCGGCTGGTACAGCAGTTGTACCAGAGAATGACTTTCTCAGACGCCGGCATTGGTACGACTGTCGTACCATCCATGCCTCCCCATTTTAGGAATCGCCTATCTGTAGATCTTTGGGTGGTCCATTGTCGCTACTCAGAGTAGCCCGCTAGCTACGCATTATTTCCCTCTTCTTATCAGTTTGGCTACATTTTGGCAAAAACCCGCAGGTTTCATCTCGCGCCAATATACTTGAAAATTAAATAGAGGCCATCTTTTCTTTCTTCCAATCTGTCTCATAATTTTAATGCTAATTTTTTTAGTACTGACATTTGCTATGATTAAAACGTCAGCGATTTTTTGCACGCTCTTTATAAGCTTACCATATTTAATGTTTTTTAATCATAACAAATAAGAATAGATTAATATTTTAGATTTTAATGCCCTTCTAGAAAATAGGTAAAACTTTTATCACTTTTCCTTTTCATACTTATGAATAATAAGATTTTATTTGACATTTTTTGTGGAGTGCAATAAACCCTTAAGAACTGTTACTCTTTCAAAGTGCTTCTTTTATGCAGGCAATTTTGTCTGATTTATCAGGAGATAACTAAGAGACAATTGTATGCATAATAGTTTTTGTGATTTTCATTCATTCAGTGATTGCTTTCAATGATTTTCATGCATTGTAAATTAAATAAATCAATTTAATCTTTAGACCCTCTTCTAGATGAGATCTGCCAAAAAGTATTTAAATATCAATAAAGCTCACATTACTTCTAAATTGAATCAAAACATCAGTTACATTTATAAAATTTCGGCTAGTTTTATTTGCTGAAATTCTTACACTCCTCAAGAGATAAAGGGAATTCAGACAAGTTGATAAAAAATATCTTTAAAAAGGTTTTATTTTGTCTGTAATAAGGTGTATGTCAACTTACTATTAAATGTATGAAAAATTAGGATTGGATACGGAAAAGCACGCGAATGCTATCTGCTTAAGGGATGGATGCTTTCGTGTAAACCTTTTTAAGAGAAAATTGCTCGCATTTACGTTCCTGGTGGAAAACTCCACATGTAATCAACCCGTTCTTCGGTATTGATTGGATTAATTTTGTTCGCTTTATGAATTACATCAAAGCACACAACAATTACCTGTATAAGGGGAGTTATGCCTTCGCGGAGGACTTTCTAAGAGAAGCTGGCTTGCATTTACGTTACAAACAAAAAACCGTGAATCCAACTATTTATCCGGGATTCAAACCAAAGCGAGCTACAAGTGTTCAGCCACCTTTACCGCTCTAACTGAAGAGCCCGTAAAAATATTGATAAAGGAAAAGTATTGAAATAACCGGTTTAATTTACTAACCTATATTTTCTCAATCGACAGTACATAATTACGCATATGAGGGGGGATTATTTGTGAATAAATAAACTGTATTGTACTTTTCTCCCCTTTCTTCCATATTTCTATTGGAATTAATTATTGCATTTCAAAGTTATTTCTCATGAATTAATTTTGCTCTTTATGATTTTTGATATTTTCAAAGAGAAAATTGCACACTTTAAATAAAAAATACACGAGAAGATACTTTATGCAAAATTTTGGCGCAAACAGTTTTTTTAATTTTTACTTTGAAAATATTCCAGGGTAATTGTTTTCATTACTGGAAGAAATATGAAAAACAGATTTACTACATTGTGTAAACACCCAATATTTCCTTATTCTTTTGAAAAGGTGAAAGATTACTCTTTCTAAAATAAATTAGAAAATATATTATGTGCAAATAGAATATTCGTTGAAAATGAAATAGACTTCAACCTTTGGATATAACGATGGTTTTAGACGAAATTTCTACCTATGAAAAGAAATTGACGTATAATTAATTCTTCATGAACATTTAAAACTGTTCTCAAAATTCTTTTGATGATTGCATGTATAAGTCACGGATTTTTTTTTTCTCTGCTACATAAACAAAAGCCAATTTTACAAAGAAAAATTCTCGTTAAAGATATACCTTCTTTGCCTGATAGTCCAATGTAATATTTGTTAAATTTAAATGATTAAACGCAACCAATGTATCTCGGATTTTGATTTTTATATTATACAACAAAATTATCGAAAAAAGCAGATTTAAATCTCTGTTATTGTTATGTAAAGCTTTATTATTGCTGTAAGTTCATCTCAAAAATCTAATTGTATTGAGTATTTAATCTCATTCTAATCATCTAATGGTAATAAATATTATTATTATTATTTCATTAAATTAGTCATTACCATTATTTTTATTATGAAAATATGTTTAAAAAAAAAAATCGCATCCTCCAGCCTGCAGACTTACAATCTAGTCCGTATTTACTATATTTTGTTAATTTTGTTTTCTCGCTTTCTAATTTCTAATACGAAAATACACGAATATAAATGAAGAGTGAAAACAAAGTTAAAAAATTCACAAATTATTTATGAGATTGATTAGAAATAGTGAGTGAAATACAAACATTGCTTACATTTTGTTCTAAATAAAGTGTGCACTGTATATGCATCCAGTACTGCATATTTATTTATAACTTCATTTAAATGAAAGCAAAATAATAATCGAAAAAATTGCAAATCTAGCAATCCCTCTACTATGGGACATAAGCGTCCAACAAACATGTAAATTTTACTTCATCCATGGAGGGGAACTAACGACTTTTCTCATTAGGAAAATGTCAAAGAGGGGGCAAAACTGTTTCGGATCGTGCCAGTCTGAAGGCTATTTATTATGAGCATTTCGGCCCGGTTTTAGAAGGTTAACAGTCAAATAAGATAACTAGATCTTGTGACTCAAAAATAATGCTATAATTAAAACAAACAGAATGTTAAATGATTTAAGCACTTTTTTAAATTCTCTGTTGTGTCCAGTTTTTTTACAAACTGCCTTCACCAACATGTCAAACTATGAGTATATAAAAGCCCAAACATCTTTTTCCCCCTACAAAACGGAAACCCAAAATTAGAAGA